AAAAATTGGTGCCACTGTGCATTTTTTCCTATCTCTAATTTCAGTGCAATGGAAGAGGATAGAGTTTAACCTTCTTTACACATTGTGGCTCTGTTTAGAAACACACGTATACACATATATTCACATGCTATGCTCAGGACTGTTTTAAAAGAAGGTAATGTGAGCAATTGCTCCAGTCCTCACACAGGCAGGCCCATATGATGTATAAGTTAGTATTTGAGATTATCAGATGAATCAATTCATTCAAGGTAGCAAAAATAAGCAGTGAAAAGATAACAGAAAAACTTTATTTCAGGCAGGTTATCCATGTGAGGAGCATCAAAAAAGTTAAGTTGGTGGCTGTGACCACACAGTCAAAGCTCCATCCTTTTGTTTATGTGCATGCAAAGGGGACCGGGCTTTCTGCAGTGGTGGCCACCATCTTGGTTTTTTTTTACTCCCCCACCCCACCCCACCGGATGCTGCTGATTATGTACACATTCTCAATAATTGGGTTATTGACCTCACTGGACAAAAAAATGTCACAGATACGTTGGGGTAATTGGCAGTGAAAAGGGGTGTGTAGGATAGGAAGGGAATATTCATGAGCATTTTGGGTCTCCCAAGTTTTGAAAAAGCCCTGCCTACGCAATCTGCTCAGAGATGGCATCAAGAGGCAAATGAAGCTTTCAAACCCGTTTGGATCATCCACACACTGGAATAAAAAATATTCCTGTTCATCTTGTAGGTTTGGGGTACCTTAAAATATGGTGGAAATCAAGGGTTATCTCTTCTGACTTACATAGTCTCATGGGATCTCAGTGCTGAAGCTTTTGGAAACTCGTAAATTACAATGATGTTGTTTCAATATAGAAAAACAATAAGGTCCCATACATGTATCTCACCTGCCTTCTTCTTGCTACTATTAGTGAGGTGGGAGTGCATTATGGTTTATGTCATAAAAGTGCTGAGCAGTATCAGCTGCCCCTAGTTATTGAAAATATTCTGACTTTAGAAAATTAGTTTCTAATGCTTGCCAAAAAAAAATCCATTAGGCATATTGATGCACATTTGTGTCTTCATCAGTTAGCATTATTGCAGTGTGGTTTCAATCAAAAGATCTGCTAGGAAGTTAATCTGCAATTAAGTGTGTTTTTGATTGTCTGTGAGGGTCTCTAGGAATGTCCACAGCCAAAAGAGTGAAGATGCTTCAATGTGACTCTCAGTTTGCCGTCATTAAGACTTGGGATAAACAGCAGTTGCCTCATATGCACATTAGGAATGGCGGTGACAGATGGGAACAAAAAGCTCAGGGTTACATAGAAACCTCAGCAGGAGCAAAATGTAAACTCTGGAGGGTGAGGGGACTGCCAAGTATGAAAAGGCGATTCCACCACCTTGATGGAATTTACATGGCACTTTATTTTAAATGAAAGTTTAAATTTCAGACCAAAGGAATAAAATACACAATGCAATAAGAATATTAATTAAGAAAAAAAGGAAACTCATTGATTGCTATCGGTAACCTATAATGGCTAAATTCCTGCTATAATTACACTTTGGTTGTCTAAGTTATGAAGCCAGTTAATAGTATGGGCATGTTTATGAGTGTTTGTATATTCATTCATTCATGGAAAATAAGTGGAATTTTGAATAGTATCCTTTTCAAATGGGGGGAGGGAGGGGAAAAGGAAAAGTAGGCTATTGACAGCCCTTCAAGGTAGTCCAGGCCAGGAAACCTGGTTATGAATGTTACTACTACTTTTATTGTAAGGTTCTAGTAGTGTAAAAAATTTTTGCAAGTCTGAATGTGCCTCCCCCTTTCTTGCCATTACCTTCAAGAGAACTAGAGAAGGTCAAGTCTGAGATGTTTTCTCATGTTACATTCCTGCTTTGGAATCAGATGCACAGTTATACTAACCTTAATATGCTAGGTGAGGAACTATTTGTACAGGATATGTTTAGTAATGAATAAAGCCACTTCCCTGAAGTGGTGGAAATTGTAAGCCAGGAATCTTCTACCAGCTAATAAGCCAACTTTTCAGTGAACAAGCTGAGATTATTTTCATTATTTGGTATTATTTGCTCAAAGCAAATAAATTAATTGGGTGTTGAAAAAGCAAGAACAATATTTGTGCTTCAGCCATGAGTAAAAATAACAGTGGCATGGGTGATATGAAATCTATTTATCTAATTTTTAAGGATAGCGTGCATTTGGAGTTGTGGTGACTTGAATGTTAAGAGTAAACAAAGTCTGGGTAAAAGAATGTAAGGAAAATTGTCAGCTGAAAAACCAGAAAACTGCTCAGTTGTAATGTGGAATATGTGTGTGTGTGTGTGTGTGTGTATATGTGTGTGTGTGTGTGTGTGTATATGTATGTGTGTGTGTGTATTAGAATAGTGATAATATCAATATTTCTCCTAAAAGGAAATTCAAAGTGTATTTGATTGGTCACTTCTCAGTAGCGTCTGAGTTATGACATTACAGTAAGCTCAACATGTTATATGAATGCAACACTTACAGTTGTAATCCCTGCATGGATGTCCACAGGTGGGAGCAAGGGGGGGTGTGACGTCTGTCATGATGTTGTACAAATAGTGTAATCTGCATCATTTGCCAAGACATCATTACATACATTGTTTCATCATAATAGCTTGTACCAGAGGCCTGTTAATCCATGATGAATAGTTAGTTGTGAGAACCAATCCCATTATCTAATAAATCATGGCTTATTGGTCAATATAATGGAACTTGATTGAATTACCACAACTTTTACAAGGAATAAATATTCCTAGCTAAAGTGGAAAACAAGCTTTGGGATGTTAATGCTTAAGCTTTAGCATTTTTGCTCAATGATTCTTGTCATCCTTTGACATTATATTGTAATAATGGCTTTTTTATAGTTTGGAACATCCTTATGCTATGTCCCAGTGTATTACTTGGTTGTTGTTTTTTGCTGTAATATCTTAAGTAACTAAACAATCTGCCCAGAAACCTTGGAGTGTGACAAGGTTTAGAAGAAGAATAAGAAGAAAAAGAATGTATTCCTATCCTATAATTCAACCCATTCTAAAACAGAAAATTGGTCCAATCCGAACTACAAAATCCTTAATAAATATATCCATCTAATAACAAAGAGTGTGATAAACAAAAAGTCTGTTAAAAGGCAACCTATGCTTGGCCTATTTGTTGTGGGTCTCAGAAGTCAGCACTGATAGCAAAACAAAACCAAAAAAACCCTTTCAGGGAAGCATGTTCCCCCCTCCTTTCATTTCTAGCAGACATTTCCACACATTTTATTTCACTTGCCAAGGTCACTGCCAACGAGGAAGACAAAACAATTAATCCTTGGCTGAGGTAGATATCAACAGCAAGAGCACATACTGTGTTCATTTTCAAAGGTGTTTGGAAACCGGTGCCCTCCTCTTATTCTCAGCAGCAAAGGTCACACCAAGTTCTGCTCTTCTTTCAAAATGAGTTTGACTAGAGATGCAGTAAGAAATCGTTTTAGAATAAGAGAAAGAGAAAGAGTGTTTCTCCTTATTTCACAAAGGTAGACTGAAATACATTTAGTACCAGGATATAACTGCATTGTCCTTAGGAGCCAATAAAACGTGTTGGCTTCTGTCCGAATTCTTCAGTGGTAATTATTGCAACAAGTGTCTCTGCAGGTCAGGCAGGGCTACAATAACAGCCATGATTATCCTATTTGCAAGTAGAACATCCATCCATAGAGCCATTATATTTCTGATTGTAGGATTTCTGGGGTAAACCAGCAGGGATTCATTGTCTGTGTCATTCCTTGCTTGAAAGCAATGAATCTTCTTGGCAATTCTTGGAAAATATGGATTTTCTGCACTCAGTAAAAAATACAATTACTGTAGGTAGAATGCTTTGAAAGGATGTTATGTTCTGGTATATGCCATTCCATATTTCTTCAGAAGCACATACTCTGCACCCTTCTCTCCAATATGACACCTTGGCTACAACAGGGATAGCAATTTTATTTGAGACCATGATTAACTACTAGAGAAGGGGTCTTTTGCTTGTGTAGTCTTTCTTGATCTTTCATCCTCCTTTACTGCCTGGGACAGATTCCAATACTTGTAGAATTAATCAAACCCACAGTTTCCTTTACATCCAAATAAGTAAACATTGGTTTATTCTCTAACTCAGTGTTTCTCAACCTTGGCAACTTTAAAATTTGTGGACTTCAACTCCCAAAATTCCCCAGCCAACCACCGTGGCTGGGGAATTCTGGGAGTTGAAGTCCACAAATTTTAAAGTTGTCAAGGTTGAGAAACACTGCTCTAACTAGAGATTAGAAATGAGCCAGGATCTGATCCTAATTTGAAGTCCAGTATAAAATCTCTTTCATAATTTGAGGGTAACAGGAAATTGTGCTTTGATAAACCACAGATGCATTAAAATCCAGCACAGGAGAGAAAGAGGATGGAAAGAGAGCATATTACATCTGAATGTGTCTGCTGTGCTCCCAGCTGGAATATATTGCAGCCACTGATAAATAGAATAGTACTGCCATCAGGATGTTCTTTTAGATGAGAGGGTACGCAGAAGAACTGTACCCTTTTTTCTTAGTAGAATTGCAAAAATTGTACTGTAATTTATGAACCGCAGGCTTCATTTAAGAAGTACACCTATAAAGCACAAGATTCGGCATGATCCTTGCAGTTGTAATATTGGGTTTGGACACAGAAGCCTGGGTGGGTCTTGAGCAAGTCACTGATTTTCCAGTAAAGTGAGGGCTGCATTTTCTAGTAATTGTTCTATTTCAAAGTGGTAAAGGAAGTTTTGTGTGTCAATAAAACATCAGAAGAATGTGCATAGAAGAGAATTAGAAGCAGCCGCTCAATTTCTGCCTAGGATATCTTGATTTTTGTTGTGCACCACTTGGTGGGTTTTAGCAACAAGGAAAGCAGAAGGTATTAATAATAAGTAAGATGGCAGAAGTATTTCCAAACTGTACTGAGTTGTCCCCATTTGTGTTTCATTTACATAGTTGGAATTATCCAGCACAGCAATCCTTCATCAAATCCGGAGGGATCAAGTTACAGATACATGTCGAGCCAACAGCATGTCCAGCAGGAAGCGCCGTGTGCTGACCCCTAATGATCTCAAACATCTGGTGGTTGATGAAGATCACGAATTGATTTATTGCTATGTCCCCAAAGTGGCCTGTACCAACTGGAAGAGAGTCATGATGGTGTTAACTGGGAGAGGAAAATACACTGATCCAATGGAGATACCAGCTAATGAAGCACATGTCTCATCAAACTTGAAAACACTCAACCAGTACAGCATCCCAGAGATCAACCATCGCTTGAAAAACTACATGAAGTTTCTATTTGTCCGTGAGCCTTTTGAGAGACTGGTGTCAGCCTACAGAAACAAATTCACCCAGAAATATAACACCTCCTTTCACAAGAGATATGGTACCAAAATCGTAAAGCGCCAAAGGAAAAATGCAACACAGGAGGCTCTGCATAAAGGTGATGATGTCAAATTTGAAGAGTTTGTGGCTTATCTCATAGACCCACAAACTCAAAGAGAAGAGCCATTCAATGAACACTGGCAAACTGTCTTTTCTCTGTGCCATCCTTGTCACATCCATTATGACCTCATAGGGAAGTATGAGACTCTTGAAGAGGATTCCAACTACATCCTTCAACTAGCAGGAGTAGGAAACTATCTCAAGTTCCCCACCTATGCAAAGTCTACAAGAACTACTGATGAAATGACTACAGAGTTCTTCCAGAACATCAGTTCAGAGCACCAAACACAGCTGTATGAAGTCTACAAACTTGATTTTTTAATGTTCAATTACTCAGTGCCAAGCTATCTGAAACTGGAATGAAACGTGGATAGCCAGAGAAAGAAAGAAAGCTGTTTAATTTAAGATTTTTATTTGTCATAATTATGTATGAAGAATGGGTTATTTTGTAAGTTAATATTTTTCTCTCTCTCTCTTTTTTTTTTAGTAATGCTGCGAGCAGCATAGTTGGAAATTTATTATTTAAATTGTTGGTAAGAAAGGACAGTTCTGTTTGCAGGGTAAGAAAATTGCAGTGACAATAGCTCTAGATGTGACAAGTAAGTGCTACACTGTTTTGGGGTGGAAAATGTTCCTTATGCCCTGATTTATTTTTTTAATTTTTTTTGGCATTCTTAATAAATCCGAGCCTTTGGGTTATTTATGCTTACAGAATAGATTCCTCATTAGAAGCTGAAATGCAATGCTGTGTAGGCAAAAAAGAAAAAAAGAAAGAAAAGAAAAGTTCCCTGTGTTCTCATTGCTGGAGTTTTCTTCTGCCATAATATTCCTTCATTATGGGGGGATGAATGTGCTCATAAAATTGGAAACATTGCAGTGGGCAGTAAGGCCCAGGAGCTATAATAGATTTATGGATTTGGGAGCCTTCTGATTCTCTGATTTGTAAGACATACTTTTCTACATAAAGATACACGCACTTGGTCTCAGAACACTTAGATCATTAAAATGTCATACATCTGTGCATCCCAAACACCAAGTAAGAGAAGGAAGCAAATGTTCTGGAAAGTGATGGCATGACTCAATTTCTTGTCCCTTAAAGGAGACAACCCAACCAGAGACTACTAAGAATTATCTGCTACTCCTAATTACCCTTAGAGGGAATCCTAGTTCAATAGGAAATTCATTTGATTAAGTAATCACATGTGAGGCCTCACCTGATTGTTCGACCCAGCCCTTCAGGGACAGAACACTCTTAGGGACCCAACTGGCTGTTCTGACATAACAAAAGACTAAGCTTTGGCTCTTTTCTTGATGACCAGTCTATTCAATTAGGCACAATCACTTCCTTTGCTCCATAATATGTCCAAGCAATAGAACCACATGGTACCAATACAGGATTTTTCAGATCTGTACACTGCTATTTGCATCTGTAATCCCTCATCTTGGGTCTTTGGAGATGATTGTTCCAAAAAAGAAGAAAAGGAAAGAATGTGCCCCTTACGGCCAACAGATTTAAATGACATCCCCACCCTGAAATTTGCACCATAGTAAAGAATAAACTGCATCTGGGAGTGGCTTTCCTGTGAGATAATGAGAATGTCTATATCATGTTCTGAGCTGTAGCAAAGTTTAAAGAGGCCCATTGAATAGAGTGCAATATTAAATGGTACCTGACCTTCTTTTAGGTGGATACCAGATGGAAAAAAAAATCCTGCAGTGATGCAATTTTATCTCAGTTCCAGACCTTAACAGCAATTATTTTGAAAGAAACTGACATATTGATGCTATATTTTAACATTGGGAAGAAGAACAAACACTGATTTTCACATGCATGTATACACACGCACACATACACGCACACACACTAATATTTAAAGTCTATGACTGAATGAAATGTGACTATTGTATAGAGAGAAACATATTCAAAGTTCTACTTTGCTGGACATGTTGTTAAAATCATTTCTGCCTTCCTACTTGTTTGATTTCAAGATGTGTAATAATGATGAATTAATTGCCTTTATTAATAGGTGTAGTAATAACTTTATTTAGGATCACAGTGTTCTCTTAAGTAAATTGGTTAGACCGATCAAAAGATCTTAATCAATTAATTGAAAGGTGCTCCCAATTAATTGGACAGCAAAATTTTAAAACTTGATAATTTTAAATAAAGGTCCTTCTATAAACATAGATGACAAGCATCTTAGGAAGAAGCATTTTCTCTTCCCATGCTGTTAAGCAGTGCCTACATGCATCATCTAAAACCTTTGAAGAAGTATTTTGCTTTAGAACTATTGACTTATATCCAAATAAATGAAATTTAATAAACCAATTAAAAGCATATGATTAATCAACTGAGATTGATTCAATTGGAGGATAACCCTAATATTAATATTATTGTTAACATATAGCTCAACATGTCCCAAATGATTCTGAGAATCCAGCTTAGCTTCCTGATCTAAACATGAAGATTTTCACCTTACAGTATTTATATGGAGGATGAGACTGGAAGATATATAAAACCATGCCTTAGTGGGTTTCAGAAATATATACAACAAATAACTTTCACCAGATTCTATTATGTTCTAGTAATAGACTTAAAACCTATGGCAAATCTATATAGCTGCAATTGCTTTTGTTATTTTTTTGGAGAGAAGAATCCAGGTATTTCTACGGCAAGAATATGAAATAGGGAGACAGATTCCTCTCCCAAATGACATCATTCCTGTCCAGATTGGAATCTAGCTCTCATTTCACAGGTGACTTTACTGTCCTGCCCAACACTTCTTCCTACCTGAAACAGAGGATGGACCAGAAATCTCTGCAATATCACAAAAGCTTTTGGTGGGATAGCCTGTCCATTCATATGAGTACTTACTGGTTCAAAAACAGCATGACATCACACAATTTTAATAAGAATCTGACTGGAGAAACTGGCAGCTTTATTCTATAAGAAAGCAGGGAAATTAATCCTATATATTAATCCTACATCATCCTCACTTAATTTTGGACTGTAACCCTTCATTCATGTTGTTCAGTGAAATGTAGTATTAACTGTTCAATAAAGCTGGAACACTGAAAATGATTGGGAAGAAATGCTTCAGACCTCACGCAGGTACAGTACTTCTGCTATTCGTTAAAGTAGTGTGACATTTTTCAGACTTCCAGGCAAGGCTCATAGAAAAATCTGAAAAAGGTCCAATAACTTTAATGAATAACAGTCCTACATTCCAAAAATTGCAGCTACCACCAATGGTTGGCAGAGGAACCTAGGGCTGTACTAACTTTATCACCTCAGCCAAATGTTTCTAGTCAATTTTAATTTTGCTATAAAAGGAATGGTGATTCACAAAGCTGCACACCAAGCTTTGCACACTCGTGAGGACTTGAGATGTTTCTTTCAGCAGCTGACCAGCATGTCAAAAAGCACAGTGCTTTTTAGAGAAGAAGGAGTTTCAAGAGCTGATTATAATATGGCAGAAGCAGGGGAAGAGGGGTCTGGTGCCAGCTTTAAAATTGAGGACAGAGTTGAGGTGGCCTGGGCATCATGCCTGCAGCAGCTCATACTTCCTTTCGTTTGGTTGTGGGAAGTATTCATCATCTCCTTCTCATGGCACTTACTCAAAAGAAAGCAGGTGAAGAGGTTGTGATAGCAAGGAGGAGCAACCAGGAGGCAATGTCCATGACTTTCACAGATACCTGATCGTGTAAACTGTAGATGTTCTTCTCAGAATAAACAACTTCTTATAGGGCAATGCCAAATCCTCTAGCATGCCTCCCATAGTTCTTTGGAGTTGCAGTGATGGGTCCATAATCCCATTTAATACGTCTATCAGATTTTTTAGGAAAATCATATAAAGAAGAAGAGGTTCTGTGGACTGCATCTGTATCATCAACAAAGTCATTCTCATCATGAACTGCTATGGTGAATGCTGCCTGAGAACTGATGTTCTTAGAACACAGTTGCTGATTTTAAGACCCTTCAAAAGTAACATTCCTTCAACATTTCCTCTTACATATCTTGACATTGTTTTACCAAGACTAGACAATTTAGTATTCTCCAAATATTTTGGGCTACAGCTCCAACAGTCCTTTAAGAGCTGGTTGGAAGTGAAGTCCAAAACCTCTGGTACTATCTTACTTTCCCGTGATCTAGGAAATACTGGCCTTAACTATAATATGCTAATTTTAGAATATTTAAAGCAGTAAAACCTAACAGCTTTAAAAGATTCTGAAAATCCAATTTAGTTCTTTTCCACAGAAGCATATATAACATTTCTGAGAAGCTCCCAGCAGGACATGGGAGTAACAGCACTCTCCCATTCTTATACCAAGCAACTAATAATGCAGAGGCACACTGCTTCTCATCCTGAAGATGATAGGCTATGTATGTTTCAAAATGTTTCAGAAGAATGGCTTTGAACTTTGTGCAAGCACACTTACAGCATTTCTCTGCTATTCATTAAACCAGCATCTTTTCCCAGGTTCTGTAGTTGCCTATAAAAAGGTGTGGCTGCTTTAATGAATGACAGGATGCTGTGCTTATGTGAAGTCCAAAGCAGTTCCTCTGAATTATATTTGAAGCATGCCCAACCCTAAAAGACATCATAATTAATGGCCTGAGGAAATGAATTCAATGAATTATGGAAAGGTTCTTTTTATCTATCCTGCAAAATTTCCATAAGTAGTTCTTAAACTGATGCCTTTCTATTTAAAACCTTGTTTATTCATACTTTTGTTTATAATGTCTGGTTTTTATTATCACATTAATATTCTACTGAAGTGTGATAAAAGATCCTGATCCATCCATGAATGACAAATTTCTGATGTCAGTCATTCTCATTCATTCTTTCTCTCTCTCTCTGGTCTGAGTTGGCACATTGTGACAAAATGAGTAAATTATGGACTAGAAATTGTTTTAAGCCAATAAGTGTGATAGATTCCTTTCTATTTAAAACCTTGTTTATTCATACTTTTGTTTATAATGTCTGGTTTTTATTATCACATTAATATTCTACTGAAGAGTGATAAAAGATCCTGATCCATCCATGAATGACAAATTTCTGATGTCAGTCATTCTCATTCATTCTTTCTCTCTCTCTCTGGTCTGAGTTGGCACATTGTGACAAAATGAGTAAATTATGGACTAGAAATTGTTTTAAGCCAATAAGTGTGATAGATTGATTCATTACAATGAGGGTGAAAAAATTCTCTTTGATGAATGGCACTGCAAAATTTTGAGTTATGATAGTTCGCAATTTCTATTTTATTTTTTACTTATGAGATGCACAACTGGGTAAGCAACTAGAGAACTATTTATGATGCAACACAGTGATTTTTATCTACAAAGCTGTTCCACTGGACAGGAGGAAAATATACTATGGGGAGAATAAATTGAATTCTTTTCTTTACAGTTCTCATCTGTCTTATTTACTGTGACTGGAAAGGGGAGTAGAATTCCTGCTCTGATTAAAAGGGTCTTGATCAAGTGTTTGTCAGAGTAACGCTCAGGATGATCCTGAGAGTGGGGAAAACTAGATGGTATGAGTAAATGTCTGAGTTTTCTTTAAGCACAGCTGAATTATTGGGGAAAGGGGAGGGGATGAACAATCTTGTTGATAAAAAGTTGTCTGAAGCAAATTTTCCACACTCCAAAGGGTTAGGGCACCATATGGGTTGCCAGTAGTGTTTGTGTATGTGTATATATCAGCCTTTCCCAGTCTTGAGCCCTTCCAAATTTATTCAAACTGCAATTCCCTTGTTGACTGGAATTTTGTGAATTATCATCCAGCCCATCTGGACAGTACCAGTTTGAAAAGGGCGAATATACATATATGTAGACATGCAAGAGCAACTACAGATACACTCACATTCACCCCCAGTGAGGTAACTACTGTCCACTAATATGATACTACCCTGTCATGGACCATGTTGTAAATTAGAGAATCATATTGCCAGGCCCAGTGATGAGGATATTTTCCATTGCCAAGAAGCAAGATTGACATTGGTCTACTCTGTGTGATTAATTCATACTTATTGCACCCTGCTGAAATTGGTTCTGTAGGCCTGGGTTTCCTATGCCTTGTAAAAGTTATTGGTTGGTTTGATTGATCAGTTTTCTAACAAAAGAGCAAAATGCATAATGCAGTGCAAAAAGTCATTCTAAATCAAACCTGAAGATATAAAAGGAATCCGGTGATATTTGGGGAAGGAGCAGATGACTGGGGAATTGAAGATTAACATTGCAGTCCTATGCAGATCTCACCAGGAATAAATCTCATTGAGCTCATTGGACTTACTGTCAAGAAAAAAGGCTGATGAATCTGCAAAATGAATGAACAAAGCCAGGTTGGAGGTACAGCCATTGTACTAAACAATCTATTTAAGGACTGGGACAACTGAACATACTTTTAATGCTTCTCTCCTGCTCTACAGTAGCTATCTAATCTAATACAGGCTGCTCTGACTAAGAGTGACTGCCAGGTGATGGCCCTCATCACCTGGCACTTACGGTGTCAAGGACCTTCTGCATAAAAATCAGAGGCTGTTTACTGGGTTACTCTTCCTCCCCCATAAGGAACCTGAGGATTAGTATTAGATAGCAAAAATATACTTCATATATGTGCAGTTGTCTTACAGATGCTCTGTCTGCAAATGGCAATTGTTTAAAAGATTAAAAGGGTTTTTAAAGAAATGAGAGGGGACTCTCATGTCTACCATATGGGTTTTCTTCTGGCCACATAATTGCTGTATAGTGTTTCCTCCAATCTGGTCTCTCTAAGTGTGTTGGACTGCAAACCCTAGAATTCCTAGCCAGCAGGTTGGGGAGCCTGCTATACAATTACTTTATATTATTTCATGAAATTGTATTGACAGGGTCCAATGTGGGGAAGAAAAATAGTGTTTGGCTATGACACCTACTCCATAAGTGACCAAATGGGCAATGGTTTTATTTTATTTTAAGCAGTATATACTCTGCACAGACTCTACAATGAACAGTGTACTTCCTTTTGGCCCCTATTGATGGGAATCTAACTCACTCATAGCCTACCCATTCATTCCAAGAGCCATGTTTTTGCTCCTCAGAAGGAATGGGGCAGAAAGTATTAATTACGTCTGCTTAATTTAAATTAGTTAAAATAGATGGTATTTGAAATACCTTCTATTTTCTGTATGATCAAGATGGAGACCAACTGTTCCTCTTACAGACTGCACCCAGTTTATTTTTCCTCTTTTTCAATAAACTATCATGAAACTCCTAATGTTGAAAAATCTACCGACAGGCTGGTTTTTTCTCCTACCTTTCAACAAATGTATCATTGTTCCAATACTTTGCCTAACAACATTTATTATATTTGCCCAGTTCATGGCTTCTGGGTGCATGTGTATTTGTGCTTCTCCTAAAAGAACTTTTTTTTTTAATTTTGCTCTTTATCCCCAAATTTTGGGATGGACTCATCTTCATTTAGTTTGGTTAAACTTAACACTTACTACTTTCTTGATGGTGCATTTAGGATTGTTGCCTAAAATTTGTCACTGGAGTATTATCATTTTTCTTTAATATAATGGGCAGTCATTCAAAACTTAACATTGTCACTTCAAAATAGTGTACATAACTGTATAAAATTCTTACTGTTTTTCACTATTTCAGTGTAGCTACGTGACATTACTAGTTATTTTTCTGTGCAGCTGATTATTGTACTCCAGTGAGAAGGACTTTATTCAGCTATCTGCAAATGGCTGCAGATTTGTATGATGAGGGTTAAGACTTTGCAACCCAGTTTACAAAGCAGTCATTTGACTTGCTCATCTCTTCAAACATATCTGTACAATTCATTTGGAGCACTGACAGTGGGATGGGGAAAATAATTCTTTTTTAAATTACAAAAATATTGTTTTTCCTTATTGCCCATTGGGAGTGTTATGAATATTTATAGAACCACTTGTTTCAAGGGAAATACCATATATTTTTTCATGGTAGTACTTACTTTATTTTCAGCAGCTAAGAAACAACAGCTTTAAAAATGCACGCCACCACCCTCTCTTGCAGAGCATCGGTTGGAGGCTAATGAAAACACTGTGGAATGAGGCTATGCTATTGTCGAAGATATCTCTTGGGTGTGCTCAACTGCGTATGTAATAAATGAGAAGCCCTGCATGATCCTGAGTAGTTGCTTGGTGTAAGATGAAACAATGCTGAAACAAAAGAGATTAAAAGTCTGCATCCAAGGATAATTGCAGGGATATCTGCAGAGTACAGTCAAAACAGTCAAGATGACATCCACAACGGTGTAATTGAAGCTCTGCCTGTTTTTGATGTGCATTGTGGGTGTGTTAAAAACACATATGTGTTTTGATCATACCCTGTGGAAACCCCTGGATCGTTGAGTTATCTGTAGAATCCCAATTATGAAAAGAGGCAATCTATCCATTAGCCCAGTGAGCCTAGCGATTAGATGCCCCAGCAGTTAAAATAGCCCTTTAGAAAGGCCAAAGAAAGAGTTCTACTTTCATTGGATAATCTGGAGAGACCTTGACTGACCCAGGTTTTGACTTATGTGAATACAATTCTGAAGTCAGTATGGCTACAGGTTTGTTTCATGTGCTTGTGAACTATAGCTTCCTACACCAGTGGGCACTACTGCTTCCTCAAGCCTGGAATCATCCCAGCTTACTCCTTTTTGCCTCCCGGGTTTCTTTCTAGATATAGCCATGCTTCTTATGATGTCTAACAACTCCATAGAACCCAGGAAGTTAAGAGCGCTAGGATAAGTTGGGAGGTGGCACCACAGCCAATGATATTTGGGGCCCTCTTCGCATCACAGGAGTCTTGCCCTGTAACTTGCTGTGATTTGGCCTTCTCTGCAACTAATGGATTGCCTCATTTTGCATATTCATGAATGTATTCAATTATCAGTGTTTCTTTCAACTATTTTCAGATGATGTAACCAAATGTTAATCTGTCCCCTGCAGTAGGTGTGTAATTGATACACAGGGTGGAAACCATCTGCAATCAAATTGCTCATTGGCCTTTTAAGGTTCGCTGGAGAAAGCTGCACTATTTTCAGGCAGAAAAAGTTTGTGTGTGTGTGTGGGGGGGGGTCATTAGTATTGATCTTGTTACAGAGAGTGTTATTTTTCTACATGCCTGAACTACAAAAAATGTTTAAATATGATTTAGCATCTGAAGAATTTGACTCTTTTTTACCTGTTTGAAGGCTTGTTGTAGGAGAAATCTCTCTTCATATCTGTATATAGTGTTAATAAAAAGAAGATAAATTATGTATCACCACACAAATATTAATCACTTATGAATTGTTCCTGTGCAAATGCAACAAAAAAGCCATTCAAGACTGATTATTTTTCTAAGTAACTTCAGTTAAAGTGAAGAAAAGAAAATGGGTTTTGCTGAGCCAATAAACCCCCAAACCTTCCTGGATTCCAAATGACAGGCAATTTGCACTCAGCTGGCAAGGACTGCTGACTTACACCTGGTTTACCTGGCATACTAAGTCATAATGTGGCTTGTTTGGTTTTGGCTTAATATGTTTTGTGAACCCAGCCAATTGTGTTTATTCAGTAAACTATGATGAAGGAAATCATGACTTTAGAGCTTTTAGCCACAAGGGCTACAAAATGATTCTCTACTTTAAAGTATGTAATGAAAAAAAGAAAACTTGCGATAATAAGGAATGTTGAAGGGTTCTTTTTCTTTTTGGTCAGAGGCCAATGAGTGCTGTTCAGTGCTACTGCTGAATTCTAGAGCTCAGAATGTACTTCTTTAGTATATGACTTCTGCCTCAGGTTGTGCTGGGTGGATTTCATGCTTTTAGGTATTTCAAAAAGGGTTCTTGTAACTTTTTGTTTTTGCTTTTGAGTCAGTGTTGACTCCTGCTGACTGTCTGGACTAATCCCTGCAGTTAAAAGAA